CCCCCCCCCCCCCCCCCCCCCGCCGACAGACTTTGAGGAGGAAGAGGACCCATCGAACAAGTCCTTTTTTAGCGAAATCATTAGCAGCATTTCGGATGTCAAGTTTAGCAGGGACGGGCGGTATATCTTGTCGCGAGATTACCTGACGTTGAAGCTTTGGGATGTGAATATGGACAGTCGGCCGGTCAAGACGATACCCATTCACGATCACTTGCGGAGCAAGCTGTGCGATTTGTACGAAAATGATTGCATCTTTGACAAGTTTGAAGCGCTGTGGGGACCGGATGGCAAAAAGGTCTTGACGGGAAGCTACAACAACTATTTCCACATTTTCGACAAGGAGGAGGAGCAGGATGTGGTGCTGCAGGCGGATAAGAGCGCTTTCAAGAACAAAAAGGCTGCTGGGAATAAGAAAAAGGGAGGGGCGGCGGCGGCGGCGGGGAATGGAGCGGCGGCTGGTGTGCCTGGTGCGGTCAGCCAGGTTAATGTGGACAATGTCGTGAGTGGGAGCGCGCGCGCGTGCGAGGGCGACGTCACGAGTGGGCGCGAATGGGATGACCACGATTGCGCGTACAGGACTGACCCTGCTCGCACCCTCGCACACAGGACTTTAACAAGAAGATCCTGCACGCCAGCTTCCATCCGAGGGAGAATACGATTGCGATTGCAGCTACGAACAATGTGAGTGCCTGCGTGTGTGTGTGCGTGCGTGCGTGCGAGCGAGCCCTCGCGCTGACTTGAACGCGCGCGCGCGCCCGCGCGTACGCGACCCCCCACAGCTCTTCATCTTTTCGGCAGCATCATCAGGCTAGAAGGCAATTGCTCCCCCCACCCCGCTTTCGGCCCCCTCGTGTATCGCATCGCCTGTAGAGAATGAAAGACATGTTGGGGAAGTGCGAGGTGCGTGTGTGTGCGCGTGCGCGTGCGCGTGCGTGCGTGCTCGCGTGACGTCCCTTTGATGATCACGTGATGCGCACGCGGTGATAACTTTTTGTGTGGCGGGCGAGCGTGCGCGAATCGTGAAATCGTACGCAAGCACGCACGCACGCACGCACGCTCGCACGTACGCCCGTCTCGACCACCATCACGCAACGCAAAAAAGATTGGTCGCTGTATTTGAGCGATCTGGCGATCAGGATGACGATGACGGGCGCGGGCGCGAGGTTAACGGGTGCGAGGTTAATGGGTGCGAGGCTCACGGGCGCACCCGCACGCACACCCGCACCCGCACCCGCACCACATCGAAACCTCTGCAGCACCGCTTCTCCTCTATCATCCCTCCGCTCCTCCCCCTCCTCCCCCTCCTCGACGACGTTTCAAAGCACCTTGCCAAACAAGGTCAGAGTCGCCACGCAAGCTGCACCGGGACATTTTTCGGCCGTGGGTGTGTATGTGGATACGGGAAGCAGGTACGAGAGGGCTTGGGTGCCTGGCGAATCTGGAGTCAGTCATTTGCTCGATCGAATGGCTTTCAAGGTGAGTCGTCGGAGGCGGGCGCACGCGAGCAAGCCAGCCCACGCAAGCCCACGCTGACTTGGACTCTCGCCACGCCGCACTCTCGCGCGCGCCCCCCGCAGAGCACGCGAAATCGCAGTGCGGATGAGATGACGACGATGATCGAAAAGATGGGAGGAAACGTCATGTGCTCTTCTTCGAGAGAGTCGATCATGTACCAATCGCTCGTGTTCAACAAGGATGTGGAAGCTGCGCTGGCCATCCTCGCAGACACGGTGCTTCACCCCGCCCTCTTGCCGGAAGAGTTGGCTGCTCAGCAAGAAGCGACGCGTTGGGAGATTGGAGAGATTTGGAACAAGCCGGAGATGATCTTGCCAGAGGTTTTGCATACCGTCGCCTTTCAGGATAATACGCTTGGCAATCCGCTGCTGTGTCCCGTAGAGAGTTTGGAGGTGATGAAGGTGAGGCATTTGAGGGATTTCATGCACGCTTGGTACACGCCCGAAAGGATCGTGGTGGCGGGAGCTGGCATGCCTCACGAAAGGATGGTCGAGTTGGCGGCAAAGTGGTTTGGGGGTTTGAGCGCGAGCGGGGCGAGCGGGGCGAGCGCGGCGAGCACAGACGCGAGCGCGGCGAGCACAAATGCGAGAAATAACCGCGACACTCGCGACACTCGCGACACTCTCGCCGACACTCGCGCTCGGTACACTGGCGGCGAGCTGTACGAATCGACGCCCACGATGGAATTCACGCAAGTCTACGTCGCATTCGAAGGCTTGTCCATCCACGACGATGACATTTACGCGCTCGCCACGATGCAAATCTTGTTGGGAGGAGGAGGAAGCTTTTCGGCTGGAGGACCTGGCAAGGGAATGTACAGTCGATTGTACAGCAACGTCCTCAATCAACACCACGCCGTCGATTTTTGCGCAGCTTTTCATCACTGCTACAAGGATTCGGGATTGTTTGGCATCGCTGCTAGCGTCAAGCCCGACTTTAACGGTCACATTGCCAACATTATCGCGCGCGAACTGGACAGCCTCACTTCGCCGCACGTTCGAGGAGCGGTGACGAAGGTGGAGTTGGCTAGAGCAAAGAATCAGCTCAAATCTAGCCTGGTCATGAGCTTGGAGAGCAGATTGGTGGAGGTGGAGGATCTGGGAAGACAGGTTCAGGTGCATGGCCACAAGGTTTCGGTGGAGGAAATGTGCGAAAAGATTGATGCGGTGGATTTGGATGCGCTGCATCGCGTCGCCAATCGCGTCTTGAGGGCGCGTCGCAGCGGCGAGAAGAACAATTTGGGACTGGGAAGCGGGCAGAGCACTGTTGTGGCGCAAGGTAATCTCGATGGTTTGGGCGATGTTAGGCGGACGCTTGCGAATCGCGGGCTGGGCGCCGCCGTGGCGTGAGCGTGCGTGCGTGCGCGCGCCCGCGTACTCGCGGTCAATGCAAACACTCGCGCGCACACGCAATACAATCACAATCGCACAAACACTCGCACAAATGCATACATTGGCACACTCCCTCTAGCGCTCGCGCTCGCGCTCGCGCTCCCGCTCGGTCTTTGCTCGCGCCTGCCCCGCCACCTTGAGACTCTGCTTGATCGCCCTCTGCCTCTTTGCGTCGCGCACGCTCTCCTCCTTGCTCTCCCTCTTGCGCTTCTCCTCCCTCCTAGCCACCTTGGTCTCCTTGCGCTTCGCCCCCTTGACCTTTTGAACGGCGTGCATGCGCTGCAAAAGAGCCATCGCTTCGCGCTCTGGCTTTTCAGCAACGACGGCGCGTCTAGTCAAATACGTCTGTTTCGCTTGCCTCTTCAACACTTTCGTCTTGCTAGCAAAGGGCAGCGCAGCCTGCAACTTTCTAGGAACCTTGAGAGCGTGGAATGTGCGATTTTCCGGTCGCACGACGGGAGCATATCGACTGTCGGTGAGATTGGGTGCGTTCATGCCCGATTCTCGTCGAACTGTTCCAGTCAAGCGCATGCCTTGCCATTCTCCGGCTTGCAAGAGCGAAGTGACGGGATTGTAGTATTTGCGGGGTAGAATCGCGTACCATGCGCGTAGAAAGATGATGTCTGCGCGTGTGTGTGGGTGTGCATGTTAGCGAGACGATTCGCGCGCGTGTGCGTGTGCGTGTGCGTGTGCGTGTGCGTGTCAGCGAGACGATTTTCGCGCGCGCGCGCCTACTCCCCTCGCACGCGCGCTTCGCGCACGTACTCGCACGTACTCGCCCACTCACCGCTCATCAACACCTTGTCCTCAAACGCAGCCCTGAAATGTCCCTCTGGCTTCGCAAGCGCCTTTTTGATCTGACCGCGCACGCCCGAGACGGTCTTGATGTGCGCTCCTTCGAATTTGGCCACTTCCAAGCTGGAATTGAACATGTCCTTTACGAAAGCCGTATTTTTGAAAATCTTGCTCGGCACTCCCGTCAATTTGAGCTTCTTTACAATCTTGTAAGCGGCCGCTGCACTATCCGAACCCAGCACCGTGCCCGTTGCGCTGATGCGAAAGGAAGAGACTTGAGAAGAGAGCGTATTAAAGGCTGCAAAACCCGTGTTTGGTCGACTGGAAGGACCCCAAAAAGTGGCTAGGCAATGCATATGCTCGGGCGTATACTTGAGCATCCGATTGCGCGTCCCATCATCCAGCGAATAGATTGGCGTGCTTTGAAATCTTCTCCAACCGATGGAAAAGATGAGGGGGTCGTGCGTCTTGAGGATGCGCGCATGCCAGCGATGCCGCTTGATCCTGACTTGGGTGAAACCTAGCGCCTCTTCGCTCGAAAGCAATCCGCCCACCAGAAGCGGTCGACGCGCGTCAAAGTGGTGCACCAGCTCAAAGGGCACATTCCTCAACTCGATGCGAACGTATGCGCCAGGCTTGTAGCCCTGTATGCGATCGCGCGTAGCAGCATCTTCTTGAGCGAATTCTGCCCTGTTTGCTTCCGCCTGTCGAGTTAGTTCTGCTTTTTGCTCGTCGTACCAGTCCCCTTTTGGCGCCGCGTCGTCGTCGTCGTCGTCGTCGTCGTACTGCTCGTCGAAGCGTCTCTTTAGCGCTTCTTTGCGCGCGGCGGGCGCGCGGGCGTCGAGCGCCTCGCCGTCGCCGTCCTCGTCCTCGTCCTCGTCCTCCTCGCCGCGCTCGCCGCCGCGCTCGACTTGCTGCTCTGCTCCCGTAATAAAGAGGTGTCGAATAGCATCCAGCTCGGCATCCTCTTTGAACTGCACTCCCTCTCTTTGCCCCTCGAATTGATCAGGAACCAATGCAAGTGTGCCGTGCTCATCGCCATCGCCATGTCGATTCGCCAGCTGGAACAGATCAGCCTCATCAGACCCGGAGCGCGAACGCGAGCGGGAACGCGAGCGAGAACGCGAACGCAAACGCAAACGCTCCCCCGTGCCCGTGCCCTCGCCGACGATCTGCCAAGGGTTCAAATCCGACTCGTAAATCTCCCTCATCCAATCTTTTGCCGTGCCCCTCCTATTCTCCATCACCACCCTCTTTGCCCTCTCTCCAAGGTCGACTTGCACGGGGTAGTCGCCCATGTCGGAATCCGAGTCTGCAAATGGTAGCGTGCCGTCGCGTGAGTGTGCCGAGGACGGCGGCGGTGAATCAGAAAGCGCCGCGTCGTCGTCGTCGTCGTCGTCGTCGTCGTCACCGCTGTCGTCGTCGCGGTCGCTGTCGTCGTCGTCGTCACCGCTGTCCCCGCCGCCGTCCCCTCCGCCGTCATCAAAAGCCGCTCTTCTGACACGTACGGGAGCAGGAGCAGGAGCAAGCAATTCTTCCCCCTCCCCCTCTTCCCCCTCCCCCTCTTGCCCCTCAAACAAGCGCATCTTTCCCGCTCTTGCCCGCTCATCCAACGTATCCTTTGCACCTTGCAAGCGCACCACCATATCCGCGCCCGCGCCCTCCCCGCCCGCGCCCGCGCCGCGGCCGCCGCCGCCGCTGCCACGCCCCGAGTAGTGACCATTCACATTGATATACACTGCATCCTTGTCGAACATGACGCCTCCCACATCGCTCATGGGCGCATGAATCAACTTGTGCTTGTCGTTTAATCTCCTCCTCTTTTCGCTCTCTAGCGTCGGCAAGGGACAGGGATCTGCCAGTCTTTCGATCGAAGCGATGCTAAAATCGCCTGCGCCGGGAATGTGCACGCGCGCACCCTCTCTCAGCAACGTGCCGCGCAGATATCCGTAGAGCGTGATGCGACGATCCACCTTGTAATTTTCGCGCACCTCTTCTCGCGCTGTCAAGTCTTCCAGCCGGTCGGCCAAGAGGTGAGGATGGGCATTGCGAAAGACGAGTGGACGGAACTTTATGACGCTGATGAAGCGCGACAAGTTGGCAATCTCTGCATCGGGATAGCGCGCATTGATGATGCCGGACAGGTAAAAGAGTTTTGCGCCTTGATGGATCTCCGTCCAGAAGCGGGATTTGAGACGTTTTTTGGTCGCGCGCAAGGTGGACGCTTTCTTGATGAGGTCGAGGTGTGTGAGGATGCCCATGACTTTTGGGAAACCGTGCGCTTGAAGGATGTTTAGGAATTCCATCGTTTCCTGGGGCGCGCGCGTGGGGGCGTCAGTCAGCCATGGCTGCCATGCACGCCCTCTCTCTACCCACCACCTCACCATTTCGAAACCAAAGCTGCCGTCGATCATGAGCAGGACGAGATCTGCGATTTTGCCGACATCGA